GGGCCCAGGAACTGGGGAACAGGAAACATTAGCCTTTGTCACCTTCTCTCCTCCCCCTGAGTTGGGTCCTGCATGAAATGCAACTTGGCCAAACTGGAGAATCAGGAATGCAGTACAGGCAGTCCTCAGACTTACGACACAATTGGTTTCTGAAAACTGTGTCTTAAGTCGAAACGTTGTAACTTGGAACCGATTTTCCCATAGGAAACAATATTATAAATGGGGGAGTGGTTCCTGAACCAAGGCCCAATACCCTATTTTCACCAAAAATAACCCAGAATTTTGTACTCAATCAATTATAGATGATTAATATAGCTACATTAATGTATTTATATTGTAAATACCAATCATATTGATTTGGAAGGACTTCTTTGAGGTGACTTTGCTGGACTTTTTGAAGGGTTCCTGACTGGAGTCATCTCAAGAGTCTTGGCTGCAGGTTTTTCTGGAGTCTTGTCTGCTTTCTTAAAGAAAGTGTCCAAGGAAGTTTGTACAGATGTTCTCCAGGGAGATGCACAACACAGCAAACTTGTTCGCTGGTGTGGTGTTACGTCGGATCAAGCATTGTAAAGTCGAAATTGACGTCAGAAAGTTGAAACTGGGTGTCAATTTATAAATGTTGTAAGTGCAAAACTTTGTGAGTCGAGGACTGCCTCCTGTAAAAATGTATATAATGTAGATCCTAATATACATCACATAGTGACACATATACAAGATACTGTCATGCATATAAACGATACTGTGCCAGTACTCATGTGCATGTGTGTATGCATAACCACAGTGCATAGACATTAATACAGATGAAAGTCTACAGTGCATGTGCAGTATGTGTGTGTGTGGTGGTGGGGAGGGAGGGCTGTGCCATGAGATCCTTTTAAAGGGATCATGGGGTGTTGCACAATATTAGCACTCTTAGGTGTACAAACACTGACATATAATTAAGAAGATAAACCCAGATATTTCACTTAGAAATTCAAAGTCTCAAACACATTCTGACTTCTTGTGGTCATTCTGAGCTCTTTGCAACAGAAGATTTGTCCTATTATTTTCCATAGTCAAAAAACAAGTGAAAGCTAAGAGCTGGCATTTTCCCAAGGGTAGCCTGAGTCTAATAAGGTTGAGAGCCTTGGTGTAGATGGACAAGTAGCATTGGGCATAATGATGCATAAACAGAGGTTTTGAGAAAAGGGAAGAAAGGAGAGATTTATGTTATCATCAGAAACATGGGAAGAGTGTCCAGTCTTATTCATAACTTTCTTGGGTAGTGAATTCACATGCAAAATATGCTCTTTCATATTTATTTCTGTCTCTATTCTCTTTACTTGACATTTGCAGTAAACAGTCATTTTTCAAAAGTTGTTTAGGCACTTTCAGTCTGCTTTTCAGATACTTAAGGAACAGCTCATAGTAAGTGAAATTGCATATACAGTATTCTTCCTCATTTGCTCATCTAGAAGCATTTTCTGTGCCATTACAGTAGCTGCCATGTTCCATCCATCCCAAAGGTGGCTACACTTAGATGATGGGTGAAGTGATCCTTCTACAGATTTGTAATTCTGTAAAGTGCTTTGAGGCTTGCAAAAGGCACTATATAAATCAATTAATAACAATATCAGAGGTCAGTCAGCCAATAAGAATACAATTTAGTTTAATGAGAGATAAATAAGACAGACAGAGAGAGAAAAAGGGAGAGAGAACATTACATACCAAGTGCCAGGTTTTTAGTATGATATCTTTTATGTTTATCACAAGGATTTTCACAAACAGAGAGGATAATTGTGTCCCTGCCATTTCTCAGACCAGTGTAATATCTATTACTGGTTTTGATGTCTTACTTAGCTTTGTACCAGTATGATTTTAGGAAGAGTGTACATTATTTTCATGAAAACAAATATGAGCATGAGGAAGCATTTTTCCCTTGCGTGCAATTCCTACTAAAGAATTTACATTCTTCTAATTTACTGGTTTACTGCACCACTTAGTGCACTCCTGAGATGTGCAAAATGTCCTAGCAGTTAAAAATGTGCAGATGAAATTTACCCTTTTTGCACTGAATCCCTCACTCTTTCCTTTGAAGTCACCATGCTGTTTCTTTCCCTTAGATCCCCTTTAGCCAGTCTAATATAATAATAATTTGCATTGAACAGTTTCAAAATAAGGCAAAACTGATTGAATGAAACTTTCCTTTGAAATTACAATGGTTGCATATTTTGAAATTAATTTGGGGAAATAATGCTTTGCACTATACTCCAGCTATCTGTGTAGATCTATGCAAAGTTGGAGAGGGATGTCAAAATACCCACTGAGGCCCAGGGGCAACTCTTGTGCTGAATCATGCTTATCAAAGGCGACACTCCATAAGTTGTTAAAGGAAGCAAGTAGCCTTGCCAAAACACTCGCTAATACAAGCCCAGCTGTGCAGAGTGAACTCAAGCAACTAAGTAGAGAGTTGAGGAGAAGAGGTTTCTGTTCAAGTAATGATTGTGGTCAAGTTGCCAAGTGTCTTGAAGTCCTAGAATACATGGTTATAATAGGCGTGTTAAACTCTGCTACATGGGCTACCCAACAGGATAGACCAGGGGAGGGCAATTATTTTGGGTGGAGGGCTGCTTACTGAGTTTTGGCAAGACATCAAGGACCACATGACAGGCAGCCCAGGGCAGATTAATATTATTTTTCTAATTTTTTTAGGCGCTCCACGGGCCGAATAGAATGGCTTGGCGGGCTGCATCCAGCCCACCCTGGGATAGACTCAACCTGGGTAGTGGCTGCAATAAGACCCTGGGCAGCTCAGGTACATGACCTGCCAGCCCAGATATATTTATGACACTAGACTGCCTCACAAGGCTGTATCCCACAACTAGCTCATGAGCTCAAGAGGCTCCTCCTAGATAGATTTTAGGAAAGCCATAAAAACTGTAAGGAACCAGGATACAGGTAGCTTAGCCTAATGGTTACATGCCACAGGGGGACAGGAATCAGGGACCAAATTACTGCATCCAGTGGGTAATCCAGAGGCCGAGTCCAAATGCAGGCTGGGTCAGAGTTCAGAAGGCTGCAACTGAGTTACCAGAACCAATGGGGAAATCCAAAGCCAGAGGCCAGTGACAAAGCAAAGTCAGACTCAGGAACTAGGGAACCAGGAGGCTCACCAGAACAGAATTGAGTCAATACTGTTGGCTAGCCTACGGGCTGTAGCAACAGGTAAAATTAAATAGGTAGCTGTACTCCCAGCAGCCAATCGGGAAGCCAGTTAGTTAATTAGCTGGGATACAGCCCGCATTCAAAACCCCAGGTAGGTGTGGCTGCCTAGGCAATTAGGGTCCCTGACCGTGAATGTGACAGTGAATGCAATGTGACACACCTTGACTTCAGCAAGATTTTTGATGCTGTCTTCTGTGGCATTCTTATTAACAAACTAAAAAAATACAGATTAGACGAAAGCACTGTAAAGTGGATGCATAACTGGTTGGATCATTCGCTCAACAGTAGTCCTCAGTGGCTCAATGTCTAGTTGGGATGAGGTATCAAGTTGGGTTCCCTAGGGGTTTGTCTTGAGTCTGGTATTGTTCAACATCTTCATTAGTGATTTGGAATGGAATGATGGGATCAACTGCATATTTAGCAAATTTGTGAAGCACACCAAGTTAGATAGAGTTGCAGATACTCCAGGAGGTAGGGCCAGGATCCAGAATGACCTGAATCCAGTATGATTGGAAAAATGGTCTGCAGTCAACAATGGCAAGTGCAAATCTTGCACTTGGGAGGACATAACTGCATGCACAAATACAGACTGGGGAATGATTAGCTAGGCTGTAGCACTGCAGAGAAGGAACTGGGAGGTACGATTAGCCTGTAAGCTGAATGTGAGCCAACAATGTGCTCTTGTTGTGAAAAAAGACCAACAGCATACTGGGCACATCTATACATTCTATTAATGTTATAAATAATGTTTTACTGTGAAGTAAAATACTGTGCAGTAAGCCTTCCCTGGAAGCACATCTAGACATGCTCCCAGGTGAGATCAAATCTGCTTCCAATGGGAGCAGCCCAGTACAAGGCAGCTCCTACCCAGGTTCCCCTAGGGTGCTAGTTCAGGGCCTGGAAGGGAGTGTGGGGCTCATAGGCAGAGGGAGAAAGTTATTTTTGAGGGGGTTGAGCATGAGTGCGTGCATGTGCCCCTTCCCCCCAGGTGAGAAAGTCTTCAAGGGAAGGTGTGAGGGGGGAGGGGAAAGGGCTTTGGTGGGGGAGGGAGTGGGGCAGCTCAGTCCTGCACCCCACCAACTGTGCAGCACCTGCCCCTCCCCTAGCCCCAATCCCACTTCTTCCCCATCCCTGCTGCGCTGGAAGCCCGTGGCTAGGCTGCCCTGTGGCCCTACCTCTGCCCCATGGTTGGGGGGACAAAGTCCTGTTAGCTCCCCACTTCTACCACCTATGATGGGGCTGGTCCTCATGTGTATCGGGCCAGGAGAGCTCTGGTGGCTGCAGCAGCAGGTGTCACCTTGCCCCATACAAATCAGGAGGGGTCCTGATGTGCATGGGGCCAGGAGACAGCTGCCACTGCAGAGGTCTCCCAGCCTTGTACACATGGGGACAAGCCCCGTGCCCAGCAGGACTTCCCAGGGCAGCTTGGGGCTGGCTGAGAGCTGTTCCACTTCTGGGGCAGCTCCCAGCCAGCTGTGGGCTGTACCGAGATTTCTCTGAGCAGCCTGGAGCTAGTCAGGAACTGTCTCCCTTCTGGTTAGCATCTACACATGCTCTACTGTGCTGTATTTACAGGTAGTAGCTAACTGTGCAGTAGACTAATTTACTGCACAACAGATGGTTCATATGTGTAGATACTGATGCTTTATTGTTCAGTAGATTAATCTATTGCACAGTAAAGCATCTCATGTAGACAAACCCACTAGGTTGTATCAACAGAAGTGTCACTTGCAAATCAAGGGAAGTGATTCTTCTGCTCCATTCAGTATTGGTGAAGTGTTGGAGTACTGTGTCCTGTTTTGAATCCTGCACTTCAAGAATGATGTGGACAGACTGGAATGAGTCCAACACAGAGTGACAAAAATGATTAGAAGCTGGGAAAGCAAGAGTTATGAGAAAAGTCTGGAAGAGCTAGGGTTATTTAATCTGGAGATGAAATGACCAAGGTGGGATTTGATAAGAGTCTTCAAAAATGTGAAGGGTGAGTAGGGAGAGGATAGAGATGGGTTTTCTTTCTGATCATAGGGGCAGGACTATGAATAATGGCCTCAAGCTTCAGCACAGAAAATTTAAGATGAAAATTAGGAGGAACTTTCTAAGTATGAGGGTGCTCAATCACTGGAACAGGCTACCTAGAGCTGTGGAATCTCCATCCCATGGAATTATCAAGAAAAGTTTGGACAGACACTAAGCTGGAATGGTTTAGTCAGGTATTATCCTGCCTTGGTCAGGATGTGGACTAGATGATGGTGTAATGTCCCTTCCAGCCCTACTTTCCTATGTTCTTATGAATTTATGCCCTATTCAGTGGATTATGACAGGCAACAACAGTGGCATTGAGTGTGCTATCTGCTTATTTATTTTTACAATATTGATCTCTTTCAGGCCATAAGAGCTAGGACTGTAATCGAAAAAAGCATATGATGGAGAAGAACCATATTTCTAAGTCTATGCCTTTAGAAACATCAATTTGACATCACATATATATCAACATTCATTGAATATAGCAAATAACTGCAATATGTGACTCCGAAGTGTATGTTTTCCAAAAGACTAAGGTTGGGCTTCTCTTTTGTCATACAATTTGCATACTAAAACTTGCACATGCACTTGTGTGTGTGACCCTCTAAAAATTTAGAATATTGAATTCTAGTTTCCTGATTTGCACTCACAATCTGGTAAGTAGGGTGAAAAAACTTGGCCTTGCATCTCTAACTATTCACAAACTTTGTAGGATCAAGTATTTTGTATCTGCAAATTGGATGATACACATTTAAAACTGTAGCCCTGAAGAGTTTAACTAGAAAACAGATTAAGATAAAGTTAGGCTGCACTACAAATGGCCAAGCAGAAAATAAAAGTACTTCTTTTATCAAATTTAGAATTCAGAGTTCTGTTGACTTCATTGTAATTACATCACTGTTTAATTTAGCCAGGATATTGCTAGCAACAGTTAAAGCTTTTGCTGCAAATGAAAATGTGCATCATATTGACAGCTCTCTTGATAGGGACTGCAAGCTTCCCCCAAATTGTGTATAATTGGTATTTCTCTTTTTTAAAATGATAGTCACAGTCTTGGTGCCCAGAGTATCCCACAGTATGTGATAAACAACTCAAAATTAAACATACCCAGTAAAAGCAGAGAGCAGTTCATTCTCCAATTGCTTCTTTTCTGGTCAGGTTAAGGTGAGGTCTAACTGTTAAGATAACATTCTTGAGTCCTTCCCAAAAGCACTAGCAAAGGCTCTGGGCATAACATCTGAAAACCAAGCTCTGAAACATAAGGTGCACCAATTCAGTCTAGGAATGAAACCACCATAAAATGGTCACAAGTAAAATTAGTAAGGGGGTTGAGGCTAAATATGTGTGCATTTCATCATCCTTGAGAGTTTAACGTAATTAGATAGCTGGAGGGATAGTTATCAAAAATGAGTTCCAAATATTGTTATTTCCCCCCCAAAATTAAATGCCCTAAAAAAATCACATATTTGTCACTGGGATCAGCTCACAAACCTAGTCAGCACTTTACATAGTTAAGGTGTTTTTGGGATACAAATAAATACTTGTAAACATTGAACATTTTAAAAACATCTTCAAACCACTTTTCCATGTGTCTAATTCATATACAGGCAGTCCTCGACTTACAACATTTTGAGTTACAGCATTTCACACTTACAACGTTTATAAATTGACACCTTGTTTCAACTTTATGACATCAGTTTTGACTTTACAACACTTGATCTAATGCAATGCCACGCCAGCAAACAAGTTCGCTGCATCACTCATCTCCCTGGAGAACATCTGTCCAAAATTCCTTGGACACTTTCTTTAAGAAAGCAGACAAGACTCCAGAAAAACCTGCAGCCAAGACTCCTGAGAGGACTCCAGCCAAGAACCCTTCAAAACGTTCAACCAAGAGCCCTTCAAAAAGTCCAGCAAAGTCACCTCAAGGAAGTCCTTCCAAATCAATATGATTGGTATTTACAATATAAATACATTAAGGTCGCTATGTATGTTACTCATCTATAATTGATCGAGTACAAAATTCTGGGGTATTTTTGGTGAAAATAAGGCGTTGGTTCAGGAACCAATCGCCCATTTATAACATTGTTTCTTATGAGAAAATTGGTTCCGAGTTGCAACGTTTCAACTTAAGACACAGTTTTCAGGAACCAATTGTGTTGCAAGTCTGAGGACTGCCTGTACAGTTGAAGTGACTTCAGACTTTTTAAAGTACTTCTCCTTTGGAAGGAGAATCAGCACGTGATGTGGCAGCAATAACACACCTCCTCCCCCGCCCACACACACATGCACGTATGTGGTTGGGAGTCTTGTAAAGTCTTGATAATGCAAATGAATTGCTCTATCCTGGAAAATGTTACTACTTGCACTACTATGCATAGTGCTTCCTAATAGTAATAACCTCATTAGATGCCGGAAACAGTTACAAAGGAGTCTAATAACAAAAAAAGTTAAAACCTTTTAGATGCTGCTGACACACTGGAATCAATGACTAAAACTTATACCTAAGGGGACTACTTACTGAAGCAACTATGATTCACAGCAAGTGTTTACAGAACCCAGATTTTCACTATGGAAATAGTTCTTCTTAGAGCTAAAATTCTAGGTCATCAAAAAGGAAAAACCTCATGCTCTTCTAGAAAAGTCTTCTTTGGCTGGATAAATGTCGTGGGTTTTATTCTTTTATTTGAACACAAATTGAAATCACTGGAATGTGTGATAGGAGAGTGAATGTACAGTCAGTATTTTTGAGGAGGAAGTGTTGCGACAGACTCAACGAATGTCATCATATTCCTGCAAAGAAAGCAAAAGTGTGTTGGCAAGCCAATGTGTTTGCTAACTGCTTGCTATCACATTTTCTGATGTGATCAGGCCCATGTTCATTTGTTTGAGTAAATGTTACTTCAAGCAAGTAAGACTTGAAGGAGTGGGGACAGTATGAGAATACTGGATACCTGGATCATAGCTTTGTTTCTCACCTGGGATGGGAAATCTGACAGGACTATTGGGAAGGTAGTCTTTCATTTTCTTATTCTGGATTTTAAATGATCTGCCCTGATATCAGCTCTAGACTGGACAAGTTAGGTAAAGGCCTACTTTGAAAGGAAATAAAGAATTTTAAATCTCTTGTTTGAAGATTTACTTCTTCACAGAAGCTAATTATTCCATTATATTTTTGATCTACAGTTTAATGTGCCCTCCCACTATGGTTATATACATCCTTCTTGTCGTTTTACTTCCAGCTTAGCCTAACAGGATATTCAGTATCTAAAGAGGTGACATTTTTAGAAAAATAATTAAAGCACACTACTATTACACTAAGTTTACAGTAAAAAATAGCCCAATAGCCATACAAACCTTATATAAAATATAGCTCTACTGGTTATTGAATTCTCACATTTTTAGTTTATATGCATAAATAATGTATGTACGTGTGCACTCCTAGAATTTGGATAGACATAATTACAAAATAAGCAAGAAGAAAACTGTGCAGTGAGCTAGGCAATATGGATCAGTCTAAATATTCTTTAGTACATACTTATTCAATTCATGAAAAGTATCCTTATTCAGCTAACATTTTTCTAAAGATGGGCCATATGGAATTGGTGTGCAAAAATCTTAACAAAAGCTGAATTAGGCTGCATCCAGATGAGTGAGCACATGCATGCTGTGGCATCTCAGACAGGTTTGGGGGAGGCACAATACGAACAAAAAAATGTTCCCCGTGCTGTATATTTGCAGTGCAGTGTAAGTTTGATAGTGGGAAATCCTGGAATAAAAAAAGTAACACACTGGAAAATGTCATATTGAATGTAACAGTTTGAATTTTTGTAATAAATACCCATTAGTCAGTTTAGAAAAAAGGCAAGGTTCATCTTTTTATCTAGGATCATTGCTTGTTTCTGCCTACGTGGTGAATGTCTTGATTCTGAATTTTATCTTTAGAGGCCTTGCAGCGAACGTGCTGAATGTCTTGGTTTTTGAATTTTATCTCTAGAGGCCTTTAACAAAGTTAACCTAAAAGCGACCCTTGGGCAAACATTCCGAGAGATCGAAACCTAGAGGCTTTTGGAAGGGGGTTGGCACTAGAGGTCACAGCAGTGGTGTGGAAAATTTCCCAAAGAAGACCCAGGAAAGAAATCTGTTGGGTAAAAGTTCCAAGCCCAAATTTGGGAGTAGTGACAGGTTTGGATAGGAGGGGCCCAAGACAGCAACTCACCCAATAAAAACTGTAATCTACAGTCCCAGTTTGGAGGTAACCTCACTTGCAGAACACCGAAGGAAGAATCGCAAGTGTAGGCTGGATCAGACTGATCACCTGAACCACCCTCTCTGTGAACAAGAACTCCCGTTCACGCTGAAGCCGCGGAGCACCCGGGTGGGACCGAAAGAAGGGGACTTGTTCCTATCACTGCTGAGACCAACCCTAAAACCATAACTAAAGAATGAAAGTATATCTGGGGATTTGATTTCTAGGAATTCTAGGATTGTAAGTATACCATGAGAAATAATAGTATTGATTCCAATTTAACCTTTACTTGTAATTGTAGTTGTTTTTGTAATACTAATTCTTATAGCATTGTTTGGGAAGGATTTCTTAAAGCTAAGCAGTGTTATATGTGTAGCAAGGAATTTTAAAATAAAATTGTGTTGTATGAATTAAGTGTAAAATCATTGTGAAATCGTGCAATCAACCAAATACTCCCCCAGCCAGGCGCATCAAACGAATCAGTAAATTTTGTGGGATCTTTCTCTATTCCATAACCCACTAGAGACAGAAAAAAGTAGTACAAGGCAAACTCCTGGAACATGTCCTGCAGCAACCACTGGCTGGGTCCTCCAGAGAGACACTTCAGTACCCAGCCAGAGCATCTCTATGCCTGCCATGTGCCCCTGCTGCTCCAGCACGCTGTCTCACCATGATGGAGCAAAAAGAAGTGGGGTAAGGTTGGCAGCAGTAGCCCAAATCCAAGCTCTGTCGCTGGTAAACGGGAATGTGGGGGTGGAAGGATTGTGTGTAGGTGGGCGACTGTGTGGCAGGGGTGGGTCCCCTGCCCACCCCCAAGGTGCACAGCCCTTCAGGGCTGTCATGGTCTGCAGCAGGCAAAGCCCCACAGTGACTCACTGTGCTGCCTGAGACCTGGGGGCTACACATAGTGCACAGACCCAGCTCAGCCTGCTGGTACATGCCTTTGGAAAGTACCAGGCTGGCTCACCCAGGGCTCCCAGCACTGCATGCATGAGCTGCACACCACTGGGCTAGGCCTGGCCAGCTCCTACCTCCATGGAGCCAGCCTGGCTCAATGGCACACAGGGCACATGAAGGCAGGAGCTGACCTGGCTCAATGATGCTCAGGTCCTTCGGACAGTCCTGGAAGTCCTGGATAATGGCAGCAGCTGGCTTGGCCCTGTTTGAAGACGCACACCAGTGGGCCAGGCCAGCTCAGTGGTGCAAGTAAAATGGTGCAAGTGTAGCCCCCAGGTCTTAGATGGCCTGGCGCACTGCCGGGGGCTCTGCCTGAAGCAGGCCATGAGAGCCCCAGGGGCCCACTGCTGGCTGTTGCTGCACACTGTGGGGGTATGGCAGGTGTGAGGACATGTTGTAAGCCCCCCAGAACCCTCCTATGAACCCCCCCAGAAATCCTACACCCCCACAAACCCACTTACAAAGCCCACATCCACAAATCCCCTACAATCAAGGCTAAATCGAGTTAACCG